AGATCAAACCTATTGCCTCCAGAGTTCAAATAGTGGAAGGGATACATTCGTGCTGCGCAGAGTTGCTTGCTAAATGTGACTTCCTTGTGATGACTACCGGTAGATCAACCGAAGCCTATTGGAAAGAGCGTGGACAAGCCCCTACTGCCCTGCACTTTTTGAAGCACAGGCTGTAGATAACCTATGCACCAAGACTGGGTCCTTTGTCCCACCTGAGGTCCAAGAGGCCAATAATCTTTTGAAAGCAGCTTGTTGCCATAATGAGGAAACTTTCTCCAAGTCCTGCAGGACTGCCCTAGAATTTGTACCACTCCTGCATGAACACTTTTCTGGTTAAAACACAGCCTTCCATCAATTGGCCCAAGTAACTGCAAAGATTACTAAGCATCACAATGCAGAGTTTCAAGCCAGCTTGGCAGAAAGCAGTTCAGTGAGACTTAGTGAGACTTGCCTCACTAAGTCTCCTGTCTTGCAGAAGCTTCTCCTCTACAGCTTAAAATTAAGAGTCAAGCTGAGATTCCTTGTCCATGCCAGAAGAACATTAGAGTGGTACCGCCTAACCCTCAACTTGAATTCAACTGGGTGTCTGTGTTTTACCCACTGGACAAAGATTAGGACTTAAAATGTAATGGTGACTCAATTTTAGAGTTAGGAGGTATTGAGTACTATGAGATAATCCTTATTAATACAGAATAACTTGAGTAATAATATTTTAGCAAGGACTTTTTTCCAGTAAGAAAACAAAACAACAAAAAAACTTTAGTTAAAAAGAAAATTTTTTACAGTAAAGCACATTTATCATAATGTCTGACTTTGGTAGATTTGGGGTTGTCAGTCCAATTATGAAACTAGATTTCCTGGGGGCTTTGTAAAAAGACAGATGCTGGATATGGGACCAGGAATCTAGAAGCAGGAACAAGTTAACTAAGCTCGTGAAGACTTTGAGGATAAGCTGTTAGCCCAACTGTCAGGGAGCTAATGTGCTTGTTGTACACTGACAGGTACTGTTGCTAGGAAAAAAAAATGTAATTCTTTTGTTTTCTTGTTTCTTTAGAAGCTTTGATGTTCACAAGAAGTGTCCCCTCTGTGAATTGATGTTCCCTCCCAACTATGATCAGAGCAAATTTGAAGAACACGTTGAAAGTCACTGGAAGGTGTGCCCGATGTGCAGCGAGCAGTTCCCGCCTGACTATGACCAGCAGGGGTTTGAAAGGCACGTTCAGACCCATTTTGATCAGAATGTTCTAAATTTCGACTAGCTTTTATTAGGAGTTAGTACAATTTAGCAATCTAAAAAAAAAACAAAAAACAAAAAACAAAACAAAAAAAAACCTCAAATAGAGACTTAAGGAGACTCCAAGATCTCACTTTCATCTTCCCTACAAGGTGTCACTTTCATCTTCCCTCCTCTGCACTTTTCTGATTGAGAACTACATTTGAGAGTGGTGTCGCTAGGGCCAGGGTACAGCTTTGACTACAATAAATAAGTTTTGATCTCTGTTAATCTTGTCTGCTTTAAGAAAGTTCTCTATTTGTCCCCGAGTTAGAAAAAGTGTATGGAGGACGACACAGGAATTATTTTAATGTTACTGAACTGAAAACATATGTGTAATAGTTGTAGATTATTTAGAACAATCAGAAGATTTACAAGTTTCTGTTGACCTTGGTAATTGAGCATGACTACTATTATGTAATAAAGAGCATCAATCATAACAGCTCTGTGAAATAATTCTTTGAATATAGAAAAATGCATAATCCTACTTAGGAGCTGCATGTAGCATGAGATAATAGACTTGAAGATACTCTTTTATACGAAAAACACTGGCTGTAGGAATTAATATAATACATTCTGCTAATTTTATGATAAAATTTTAGCATAACCTGGATGATTATTTTTAAACTATTGAATTTGTATTTATAACTAGTGAGACAAAGACCAAGATAAGCCAGGCATCAGCTTTTCTCCTTAAATGACCTTGACAGTGGTTTGTGGCATAAAAATGACAGACTATGTATCAATGTCTTATATTTTTCCGATGAGAATACAAATTAGAAATAACATTCCTTTAGTAAGTGGTTAAATAGAATTTACAACCCAAGTCCAACTAATGTGTTTCTTTCTTAGTTCTCCAGTATGGTATCCATTAACATTAGAGAGGACACATTTTGGAGGGCTGTCATATCATTGTCACATTTGCTTAGAGTTTTACTAATGTGGTGCCTTGGGGTTTTTGGCTGGGGCCTTAACTTCTGAACTGTACTCCTTTCTCTCTAATGATGGGAATGTCAATAAATTGCTTTCCATTTGCTGCCTTAGTAGTTACAGAATATTGAGACCCGTTGTGAGCAAACTGGGTACTTAAGATGGTGAGTACATATTCAGGGTTCGTAGTCTTCTGGATGTGAGCTGTGTTGTGTTGCTGGTATCTGTAGGAGCAGAACTTGTGTATTATTTGAATCATTTGAAAAGGTAGATAAGTGTATGTTTTAAAATACTTTTGTTTTTTACATTTATGTTATTTGAAAAGCTATTTGAATCTAAGGAAAAACAATATGTAGCATTCAGATGCTAGCTGTTTGGCAGTCCTGGGAAGCTGTGATAGCAATGCATTCTCCTTCTCGCTTCCTAGTAAGTTTTACATAGGATATACTCGGGCAGAATATGTATGCCAGCAAGGGGCGATGGGGATGGCTTCCCTTTTAAAGTGCTTTCTGTGCTAAGTTGTGACCCCAGCACTCCGTGAAAAACCGGGGAGGCAGTAACTAGAGTCCTTGGGGCTTGCTGCCCAGCAGTGTAGACTAGCCTTTGAGCTCAGGTGCAGTGCGAGACCATGTCCCAGGTGAAGAAGTGACTGAGGAATGACGCATGATGACTTGTGCCCTCCACATGTACACACTGTCCTGGGGCTTTCTCTTACAGTTGGTATGTATGGCCCCTGCTAACGGGAAAGTAGTCTGAAGAGTGAAGTGCTGTCCATGGAAGAGTTTTAGCCCCAAGCTTATGAGAAATTATCATTTTACTTACAGAAAAGTAGGCAAAATGGAAGGGACCAAAATCTTTACACATCATCTAGATTTTACATAACAATTAGGAGCCTAAGAAAACAGTCACTGGACAGATGTTTTGATTCCCACAGGAAACCTGCTAGGGGTTCTCACGATGGAGCTAATTAACATAAGGAGCCGAGTTTACTTTGGGTCAGAGGCAGTTTATTTTAAATGTGATTTCATGTACATTTATTAAGCAGCTTTTCTTGACAGAAATTTTGAGTAAATTGCCCTCAGTTCTAATACTTTTGTTTCTTTCAAACTTTATGTGCTCTGTCCCCAACAAAACATATGAAAATATAATTTAAAGCACAGTTTTCACAGACACGGTACAATACATTCACTATACACGGTGTAACAAAATACCCCATCCTTACCTGCTTAGCAATACTGTCACAATGAGAAGTAGAAACGGTTTGGTTCATCACTGAAGAGATTTAACATGCACAACGACTGCTTTTATGACTGTGGCTGCTGAACTACTGATCCAGCCTGCAGTTTCTCACACTAGAGAGAGCAAAGCTAACTAATAATTGCTGGCCTAAAACTTTTTGGTCAACTGTAGGTAAGTATGGAGCGAGTAGGGCCGCCTTCTGAACCAGCTAGTTGATTCTCAATTCTGGATCATTCTTTTAACAAATGTGGGCTAACACTGTGTAGTCAGGACCAAGACCACTTTTCAGAGCTGAGGATGTTTTTGGTGGGCAGCATCTTTTACAAATACGTGAAAGTCCCTCACCATGAGGGACTTACAACTTAGGAATGTAGAAGCTCACCCATCTGTTTAACAGAATTGTCATTTCACAATGTAAAAAGCCAAGACAGGACCACTACTTTCTAGCAATGTATAAGATTTCATCAGATGGGAAAGTTCTTTTAGAGGGAATTTTGAGTTTGCTTTTACCAGTTTGTACTATGTGTAGTTAGCTGTGTCAAAGCAACTTTTATTGCGTATTAGGCAACTGGTAAACTCTTGTGTTTGAAGAATAGCACTTGGGATAAAAAAAACACTCAACATATGATGGTACTGTCGGTGAGAGAAACTCGAGGAATGGTCCAGATGTAGGTCACTCTTAGTGGGTTGTATTAGTCACTCTCTGTTGACCACCTGCTGCAAGAAGCACTTAATTGTCAGTAAGGCTTATTTTCATATTCTGGCAAAATGTTTTCTAAAGCTAAACAGACATTTCTAATGAGAATGCAGACATCTACAGTGTGATGGGAAAGTGCCTTTAAAAGAAGTGAAAACAGCACAGAAAGGGGCACTAGGGGTCTCAACAATGTTCTTCTTTCAGACATGTTTCAGTTTTATTTCACATTGCACCCCACAGATCTCTTAGGGTAATAGTTGCAGGAATTGGCAACATATAAACATAAAATTGTTGGCAATAGAGAACTACAAAGTGCTTTAAAACCTCATCTGTTGATGAAGCTATAACTAAGTTTCACACACGCACAATTTGCACTTACATATTTTAAAGTGTTTAGCAGATTTAAGGGGAAGAGTTTCAGACACTGGTATCTTGGTCCACAGTAACATTAGGGTAAATTCAGTCTCTTGCACCCAGCAGGCACTCAGTGTGTTATTATTAATGAGTGAACCGAGTCTTTTGCACAATTATGTCATTTAGAACACTAAAGTCATTGGTAAGTTCAAGGGCAAGAGTTTTGCTTTTTAAAGGGCAAGATGATAATTAAACAAAACAAAACAAAGCACACCTTTTATGCATGTTAAATATGAAAATATTTTAGCATATTATGTTAAACATTCTTATTCTTATTTATATTTCCATTACCTAAAGTCTTTCTACTCACAAATACTAACTCCATTATGTAAGGCATGGTAACCAGTTTGATAATGAAGGTATTTTGGTTTTATGTGAGTTGATGTGTTGAAAAGCTTCAATCACATTACAATCTTGAAAAGCATCTCAGTGCCAGCCCCTCCACTCCCAGTTAACATCACTGCAGTGTGATTAAACAGTATGCAACATGCCCTTAATTTTATTTTGTTTGGGGGAAAATGTGCTGAAGAACCTAGAGCTTTTTCATTTAGCACCTTATATCGAAGTGATGGGAATGGGTGTGATGATTACATGTGCAAATGTACAAAATCATCAACTCTACAAAGATACATCATTCCAAAATTACAGAAAAGTTTAAAGCATGCATTTAATTATTTCTCATTAAAGGGTTGCTGAGTGCTCCCCTGAAAAAGGTGGCTGTTTTCAAATCAGCAGCTGCTGGTGAGGGTTTCTTGGCACAGTTCTGACCAGCAGTCACTGCTGCATCTTCCTGATCATCTCCGCTGACACCGGGGGGTGGAAGTTGATTGTGTGGTGTCGCAGGCCCTGAGCCGTCTTGTAACTCTTCCCACACCGACATTTGAACGGTTTGCGGACTCGGATCTGCGTTCGGTGGCCGTTCTTAGCGTGGTACTTTATGCCATTCACATTCTGTGGAGAAGATAAAATTCCCTATGAGGAGGAGTCAGAGAATGTCTTGTCACACTCGTGCAAACCTTGGCATTGGTCAGATTCAAGTGGAGTAGCTACTGGATGGCATCTCCGGAGAGGGTCTGGTAGGCCTGGGCTATACACATTAGTCTGCGTGAGAAAATTAGTAGTGCAGTTTCCCTTGGTGTTTTGAAGCCTCACTTCTTGGGTACTAAAGTTTGCTACTTGGAAGAGAGTTAATTGGAAATCCTATGAATGTTTCAGAATGGCCAAGGAATAGCCTTCTAAAGAACACAACAAAAAACAGGTTACAGCAGACCGAATATAAGATGTGTAAGGTTTTTTTATTTGGAAACTTGATGTTTTACATTCAGACAGCCATGGTAAGTTCCCTGCCACACCTTACCCGGAATCTGACAGTGTTAGCCCTGCTTCAGCACAGCTGTGAGTGTTCGAGCCTGTGGGCACTGCCTTTACTGGTGTTCTGCATTGCAAACACCATGCTTTTAAGATTTAGATCCCGATGTTTAGATTAGCAGAATGCTCCAGAAGCCATGTGGGGCTGCTTACAACTGCCCCAAACTCCAGTTCTAGGGCATCACATACCTTCTTCCAGCCCCAGCAGAAGGGTCACTAAACATTTCATGTCTGTTTCTATGAGCCTTGTTGGAAATGGGTGTCTTAGGGTTGCTAATGCTGTGATGAAACACCATGACTGAAAGCAACTTGGGGAGGAAAGGGTTTTTTCACTCATAGTTCTGTTTAACAGTTGGTCATCAAGAGCAGTGAGGACAGGAACCTGGAGGCAGGGCCTTATGCAGAGATCATGGAGGGTGCTACTTACTGGCTTGTTCAGCCTGCTTTCTTATAGAACCCAGGAGCACCAGCACAGGAGTGGCCCCATCCACAATGAACTGGTTCCTCCTCCATCACACTCTTATTTTTTTCTCCATTTTTTATTTATATTAGAAACATGATTGTTTTACATGTTAATCCCAGCTCCCTCTCCCTGCCCCCCTGCCTAACCCATACCAATTCTGCTCCCCAGAGAGAGTGAGGTCTTCCATGGGGGCGTCTTGAGAGTCTGTCATATCCTTTGGGATAGGGCCTAGCCCCCCCCCCCTGTGTGTCTAGGCGGAGGGAGTATCCCTCCATATCAAACTCTATTTAAGAAATCCCTCTACACATTGGCCCACAGCTAGGTCTTAGGGAGACATTTTCTCAATTGAGGCTCCCTCTTCTCAGATGACAATAGCTTGTGTCAAGTTGAGCTAAAACTATCCAGCACAGTGGGTTAACACACACACACACACACACACACACACACACACACACACACACACACACACACACACTAGTCCTATGCCCACTACCACTCACTACTTAAGGTAGAAGAGGCAAAAAGGCTAAGTAACTGCATCCATTAGATAATTTACTCCATCTGGTCTTGGGTTCTTATCCCTAGTTAGACCAAGGAAAATTGGGAGCCAGACAGGCATTTACAGCTTGACCTCCATGAACCCAAACACAGTTCACCCAGGGTAGGACATGAACCCAGAAGGCTTTGCAGCCTTTTCCTTAAAACAGGACAAAGGCTGCCCTTTTTCAAACAAAGGTTTCTGAAAAACACAACCACCCATTTACAGCTCTATTCTGGGGAGAATGAAGCCAGCTACATGTTTGGAAGCATGTTATTTCTCAGGATGGCCAAAGAACCTAGGCTAGCATCCCAGCTGTTGTGATCCGCCAGCTCCCAGGGATCGGTGGGAAAGCCTTACCACAGTGTACAGAGAGCATTTTGCCTGCTTGAGGAGGTAGGTGTGTGTGTGTGTGTGTGTGTGTGTGTGTGTGTGTGTG